CCCCCCCTCCCTCTCCCCCCCCCTCTCCCCCGCCCTCTCCTCCCCCTCCGCTCACCTCCCCCCTTACCCCCCCCCCCCTCTCCTCCTCCTTCCCCCCCTCACCTCCCCCCATGCCTCCTCCCCTACCGCCCCCCACGTTACCTGGCCCAGTCCTCCAGGCCAATACAGCCTACGCATATCATATAACATTTACAGTGACCACAAGCACTTATAAACTTGTGAAAGTCAATGTCTTGAGGAACTCTCGTATATTTTATTCATGGACTCTTGATCCTTCAAACGAGTATACAACGACACCGCAAACCACCTATAATAAAGGTGACTCCATCTGCTTTACATGCGTAGTCATTGACAGCAGTGGTATCCAATCCCTCGTTTCGAATGAGTCATGCACCGTATTCAGTTAATCTCCTGACCTGTGAGGCTTCATGTGCCTGAAAGGGTTCACGGTTAACCTTGCGATGGATTGGCTTCCTGGAACTAGAAAGGGATGTCGACAAGCTGGAATCCCCCCCCCGTGTGCCTTGTTGCCGTTGACCTTGCTCCTTTGGGTGTGCCCTGCCCTCCCCCGCCTACATTCTCACGCCTTTGCAGCTTCTAATGGAATCATACGCAATGTGGCCGCACGATGTAACCAGGTGTGTGCTTGACACGATTTAGGATGCCACACTGGTCTTTCAGGGTTTGCCGCAACAGGTAGTATGTGGGAGTTCCTCTGAGCCGACTTCCCCCCCCCCCTGTACATTTGTTCGGTGTCTGGAGGGTCTTACCCAATCAGAAGGGCTCCTTCGCATGCAGAATATCGGCTGCATGCGCTGCATGTTCAGAGAGAATGCCAGCAAGCTTTGGGTGGCCAAGCTTTGGGTGGCCAGCACTTCAGCTGCCATACATATATGTATGGGCATCGTTACACGTTTCTAGAGAGTCGATGCGATGGCCTTTCGGTTGGATCACACGATGATATTTCTGCAGCATCACCTGTCCATTTCAACTTTCGTGAGGTGTGGGAGGGATTTGCGACTGAGGCTGTAACTGAAGCGCGGGTAGGCCGAGATGACGTACGAGGCTCTCTGCCCTGGATGTTCTCTCAGAACCGGAATGCGGCCTTGACCTGGTCAGGCAATAAGCAACCTATTGAAATGGCGAGGGTAAGGTGTTGCAGCAGGGCACTGGAGGCATGGATTCACTCCCAGCCAGGGCAGAAGCCCGCGGCCCCTGGGTCTGCTGTGCATGAGACACAGCGTCCCTTTGCACGACGCTCGTGGCACTGGATGGGGATGATGCCGACATGCTGTGGCTCCATCTTCCGGGGAAGGAATGGCCTCAGGCGGTCCCGGGACCTTCTCAACTCCGGGGATGCGACCTGAGATCCTGAAGGTGTCTTCCCCAGCTCGTTGTGGAAATGTTGTGGGGGTTCCCCTTGACCGGGCCCTTACCCCACTTTCCACCTGTTCCCGCTCTGCACCGAGTCCACGGCTCCTTGCGGCGCCTATGAAACCCGGCCATCACAGTGCATTCGGGGTTTCGTCTGTAACATTCCTACTTCAGGTCACATACAGCGGTCCACCGTTGTGGGGGCCAGCCCGCGCCCACAACAGGAATACCACGATACTCCCTTCTTCGGGTATGTCTCCTCTTGCCAGACCCCAAACTCATCCGGCCGTGCAGCGGGCCATCCTAGGCGAGGTACACCGATTAGGGTGTGGGAACGAGATGATAATTCCGATGTGTACCAATTTTTTCAGGGTGTGTCAGTGAAACATACAGCAGATTGCTACGTTCATTGGATCCACAGATTGGTCCGGAGGCCTCCAGTTGCCATCCGGTGCGCAGCTGGGTCACTCTTCCTACTGTACCTTCTCGGGGGAGGCAATATATGGAGTCCTGCCAGTAACTTGCTGCATTTGTCGTCAGGGTCTAAATACATATCATACCTATTCTCGAAGATAGACTCGCAACTCCTGAGCTGTGCAGAAACGTGTGAGGCACGGATGCTTGCACATTTCGGAGAAGCACAGAGGACCCTCAAACTCGCAACGATGGGAAAACAGACATCTAATCGTGCCATTGTGGCCGCTATTTACATACTGTGTGGTGTCTCCATCGCTTCGGTGAGAGAAATTTGGTTTCGCCGCGAGCAAGGGGGAGGAGCGCCTATATCAATCTTCCACCCTGAAGAGACCTGCCAAAGTCACCGGTCCTTTCCCAATCCATAGGAAGCCTGCAAATCTACATTCATTGCCCTTCCCAGCGCCATGTGAGTGGTAGTAGTCGGGTGAATGTTGGTCCGGAAAGGTGGCCGGGAGTGCGTCCGGCTTCTTCCGGGACGCTGCATCTTGGGGGCAGACCAAGGTATGCGAACAATTTTTGCCCGGACGAGTCGTGAATGAATTTAATTATGTTGGCGAGTACCCTTAGAACTTACTCCTGAGTAATCATGCAGCTTGGGAGCCAAGGTCGAGTTTCTGACTGAGGATAGTGCTACCGCGTACTGCAAGTAGGAGATCGAGCAGTACTGCATGAAAGTATATGCAAGCGACTTTGACTACCGGGCGACAATGTCACAAGAGATTGTATGTTGAATTGGCATCACATGACAGTCAGAATTACCACCAAGCCTCTCCCATCCAACCAACAGGCGGCAGGGCTTTAGCAAGGCGGGGAGTGTGCGAACATCTACCCTGAACATCCTGGGTCTGTCCATGGATGCTGTCCGCATGAGTACTGCAGAGCTAGTGACGCCCCGCTCTACCAAGGTCATTGTGGCGGTGGAGTGCCTCAAGCCTGGGCAGACAGCCTGCACGGCAGACAGCAGTGGCAACATTGGATCCGGCAACAGGGGCAAGCGCAACTTTGGCACCAACAATGTAGGAGACGACAACATTGGTGAGTGGGGAGGTTCGGATGCGGACATCTTATGTTGAACCGCCTGCGGCGGTGTGCAGGCAACACCGCCTCCCATACCTGATCATGCAGGGAACAGAAACACAGGCTCTTCCAACTGGGGAGATAATAACAAGGGGACCAGCAACCGCTGCTTTGATAAAGTGGGAGACCGCAAAGTGGTCAACGACTGCAAGCTGACAGAGTTTCGTGAGCGTGCCTTCAATGTCATCGTGCCATCCCCACCTCCAAAGAAGTCGTCGCCGCCACCGGCCCCTCTCAAGCGACCACCGCCTCCTCTCAAGCGGTTTCCCCCTCCTCCTGTGCCGCTCCCACCTCCCCTCAAGCGCTTCCCGCCTCCACCAGCACGGAAGTCCCCCCCTCCCCCGAGAGTATCCCCTCCTCCTTCTCCAAAGCAGTCCTTTCCACCTCCCAAGCGGTCCCCTCCCTCACCCAGGCAGTCACCTACATCACCCAAGCGCTCCCCTCCCCCACCCAGGCAGTTGCCTCCCCC